TTGCTCAACTTCCTAAATTTGTGGCAATTTATAGTTCTTTCATTTCAGTTCCATTTGTTTTTGCTGTGATTTTTAACATTTTCTTCCTGTTCATTTTTTAAGTCTTTGAGATGCATTATTAGATCATTCTTGAGATTTATTTTAATTGTAAGCACTTGATGTTATAAATGCCCCTTTCAATGCTGTTTCTTTGCTGTGTCTCATAGGTTTTGATATTTTTGTTTTTAGTTTTATTTCTTCAAAACAGTGTTTTTTTCTTATTAATTTCTCCACTGACTCATAGGTCATACAGAAGCACTGTTTACCTTAAGAAGGTTTTTGATTTTCATTTCTTCAGTGACACATTGGTCCTTCAGTAGCATGTTCTTTAACTTCATGTCGTAAAATTTTCTACTTTTCTTCCTGTTGTTGATTTTGTTTTATAGCTTTTTATTTAAGAGGATGTATAGTAACTGTGTAGCAGAGACTATCATATCCAAATGTGAAGATAAAATGCATTATGCATTTCCACTTCCAAATCAAAGATGGAATCCCAATTAAACTATTAAATGTGTCTTCACAATAGAATGCTGGACTCTCAGCCAATAACAAATAACAGAATGATGAACTTATGAGTGTTTGTGAAGGACTATACTATTGTAATAGTATAGGGCAAATCAGAGGGAGAGGGGATTTAGGTTGGGCAAGAGGAAATCCCAGAGCTAATGGAATTGTATCATCAAATTAAATAAATAAATAAATACAACTTTGTAAACACATGTTGTGACACCGAGAGCAGAAACAGCACCCATGTGCTTCATTGGTTGTCAAGAAAATTCTAAGGAATTGTAAGGCTGAATTATTCATCTGTACTTTCCAAAAAAAAAAAAAATTGGTGTCTGAGTGCTTACATAGATTTGTCTCCTTTTTCACACTCAAGGTTTCAAATTCATTACTAATGTTTATTAGATATTTCTGTCGTGTGTATGTTATTTACCAGGACTATTTCATGTTCAATTGTTCGTTATCTAACAGAACTTTGAGAATTACTGTAGATATTCCTAAGATTCACAGGGATTGCACTGGACATAATAGGTACCAGAAGAAATGCATTCTAACCACTCAGGCATATGGAATAAACTTTTTTTTATTGGTATCCAGGGTAGTGTACAGTTTTTTCAAAAAGATATATTTCTTTGAAAGGCAGATTGGAAACCGACACAGAGAGAGAGAGAGACAGAACATTAAAAAATATATAAATAAGTAAATAAATAAATAAATAAAAACAAGAGATTCCATCTACTAGTTCACTTTTCAATGGCTACAATATCTGGATCTGGCAAAAAATGAGCTCACCTATGTGGGTGCTAGGGTGCAAGTACTTAAGCTATTTTCTGCTGCTTTCCAAAAGCATTGGTAGGGGGTTTGGGGTTGCAAGTGGAGCAGCCAGGACTCAAACTGTACTCCACATTAAGTGCTAGTGACCACGATGTTAGCTTCTCTAACATGATTATTGCTGCTACCACAATCTACACTCTCCTTAAAAAATGCAAATCACTTCTTTGCACAACTTTTAAGATTTATTCACCATTCTCTTCTAAGTATTTCATCTGTTTATTTTCTAAATTTTTGCATTAAATGAACACAGAGATTAGAATTTTCCAGCTGTGGCTGAAATGTTTGCTGTGATTTGGGTAATGGTTTTCCTGTTCTTCCATTCAAAGTTAGAGGTTGATCATGCAGCTGTTTTTCTTTTTAAATTTACCTATGGTTGGTTAGAGAAAAACATTTTAAACAATCATATTTATGTAATATAATCATTATTACTTGTACTATTTCAATGAGTCATTACTGAATTTAGCCATGAGAGGACATGCTTTGTATAATAACCATTCTTTGATTTATGTAGAGAATTTATTGGCCTCTCAGGACTTTATTTGCTAAGGGTAAGCTTTCCTGAAATTGCCTGTGCATTCAGTTTTGGTGAAAGATTTATATTTAGATTCTAGATTGATGTATTTACATCTCATTTATAATTACAAATTCTGCTTGCTGTATCAGCTTGTGACATAATTACAGTTTTTACAATATATTGATTCAGCATATTGGCCAAGTTTAAATCCCTCTCTGTCTCTCCTCCTCTCTGTATCTCTAACTTTGCAATAAAAAAGTAATTTACAAAAAATAAAGGAAAATCACAAGTTGAACCACAGTGGGGGAATACTGGGAATGCAAATATCTATAATATACCAGAATTTTGCATGGAATAATTTAACTTTAGAATATGCACAATGATCCCATAAGTGGTACATTAAACTCAGGTTTCTGCATCTTTGAAACTGTTCTTCCGTCTCAATAATGTCAGTAGAGGCAGGTCTCAGTTTGCTAGTTTGCAGAATCTGGACATACAAGTGTTGATGGATAAGTCATAGCAAAAACCCAAGAAACCAACACTCGCATGTTTCTGTGGGAGCTCAGCTCCAGATTTGCAGGAGACAGAAGGAAAACAGCAGAGGCATGAGGAAGACAATCACAGCCTGCAAGCCCTGTAATGGGCCGTGGTGCTGGCCTTCTGGATCTCAGGGCATTAGGCTGTACCATGCTGAGATGTTTCCAGAGAGAGAAGATGGGCAAGAGGAAGGTTTCAGGGCACAGAGAAGTCTATGATGAAGAACATTATGTTGGTGAGTCAGGACGACTTTCAAATGTTTGCACTCCTTCTAATAGGAACTGCAAGCTCTTGTTATTCTTTTTATCTGTCAATTCAAACGTCAATATCATGTTCTACAGAATGTTAAAATATGACCAGTAGTGTCACTGACACCATTTTTGTAGCTTACCAATTCAGGTAGAAAAAAATAGAACAGAAGTGGATAAGGACCCTGTTTCCGTCTCAGACCCTGCTTCACTTCTAGAGATGGAATAGGATGACACTAAGTTGCTGGGGATTTGCTCTCATCTGCTGCGGAGTTTATCAGGGACAAGCACAGCAGAAGCTTCTTCCGGGTCTCCCATGTGAGTACAGAGGCCCCAATGTTTAGACCACTTTCCACTGCTTTTACTAGGCCGTTAGGTGCTTAGAGGTGGAGCAGCCAGAACAAGAACCAGCTTCCATTATGGGATGCTAGCCATACAGGAGGCAGTGTTATTTCTGTGCCACAATGCCAGCCTCTGAAAAAAAATTTTTTTAAAAAAACAAAAATCTAAGAAGTAACTGGTTATAAGCTAAATTTGTAATATTCATATGCCAGTTTTGTCTACAGAATACCCAACAGAAAACAGCATATTAAAATTATGTTGTTAACACTACACAACATATGCATAAGTAAAATTACTTCTCTTTTGCAACTACTGAGTTTTCATCAATTTCAACTACATTCTTTGTCCCACTTTTTCTCTGTTTCATTCTCTTGACCTGGCTGCATGGAGGCTCTTTTCCCTAGAAGCCAGAAGGTCCAGTTCTTTTGCTGGAGAAAGCACTCTACTTTGAAAAGCCTGGTGCTACAATGTAAAATGATATTTCTTTATGATTTTCATTTTTATTGCTCCTCTTTTCTTGAGCTAAATTAACTAGTTAGACATCAATTTATTCATTTACTGAAAAGTCATTTTTGGACAGCTACTCGAAGGGATAGCTTTTCGCCTCTGGCAGTCAACTGAAACACATGGTCATGGCTCCAACTTCATGATGTTTCCACTGTACTGGGAAAGACAGCTGTTTAAATAAGCACATGAAACAGATATGTGTTATACCTTGAGGATTAAATAATGCTATAATTTCATAAGAACCAACATTGTTACGGTCAAGTTAGATTTTATTTTTGCTCAAAGTTAACTTCTTGTTATAATAAAACTTGCCATCAAAGTCATCAAAACTTTCTTATATTTTGATATTTTAAGCACTATGATTGTAAAATATATCTTAATTTTAAATAGGTTTCGGACATTGTCATTTCATTGACATGAAAAAATTTATTGAATTATGTATAATATTTTATATAATATTCTTAAATTGTGCATTTTCCAGGTAAGTTGATGAGGAATCTATTTGTTTTAAAGATATATTCATTTGTTTGTTTGAAAGAGAGAAATATAGAGAGAGAAATTTTCCATCCACTATTTTATTCAGACAATAACTCAGAACAGCCTTGGCTGCACCAGTCTGAAGCCAGGAGGCAGGAACTGCATCATGGTCATTTGCCTGGGTTTCACAGCCCAAGTGATCCCCAACTAATGGTGCCATCCTCCTCTACTTTCCCAGTCACATTAGGGGCAAGCTGGATTGAAGTGGAGCAGGCAGGATACAGACAAGCACTCTGATAAGGAGGTGCTGGCATCACAAGCTGTGGTTTAATATTAATATTAATATTTTCAGTGCTATTTATGTACACATATATAAAATTAACTACAAATACATTTTTTCACTTTTAAAACATGCATAATTTTTGCATAATGTTATGAAAAGTGGTGTGCTGCTTACTTAAGATGAAATGAATATTCTCAGTTGAATAAACTCATGCCACATGGATAAACAATTATATATTTGAATATACATACATATTTATAATCACAAATTATTTTGGATTGACAACTCTTACCATCTAGTTTCTGGAAGATCAAACAACAAAATGAAAAAACACTGGTGTAAATGCAATAATGAGATAAATATTAATAAGAGGATAATGAGATAGGCTTACAATTCTAAATAATGCACAAATAATAATACATCAATAATTCTTTTATTGGAAAATAAACAGGTTAGGCACAAAATACACATGATTAACTACCTTGACAACATTATTGATGTACTTTGCATAAGTTAATGGATTGCATAAAATAATTCATGCTAAAACATGATTTTTCCAATAAATTTTGAGTATTTACTCCTAACTACCATTTAACAAAATAAGCTTTGGTAAAATACTTTTCTGGAATCCCTTTTGAAATTACACAAATACTTATCTCACAGAAATAGCAGTCCAAATTTTTTACAACTACAGACTTCTCCATTGGTTTCCTGTCTATGAATTTGAAGGAGTCTGTTTTTTCAATCTACACCTCACTTGCCCCAGCATCCACAAAAACGTTTGATTTAGCTTCCTGTTTATGAAAATCAGGACAAATGAATGAATTGAGGGGCAGGTGAATGCAAGAATATTGCACACTACGAAAAATGGATTGCTATGCTGCCCACTAAAACTCCAAACAATAGCAATCACAAAGAAAAAATAAGCAGCCAACAGAAAGAGGGAGGAGAGCATTGTTTGCAAGGCTTTCACGTGTATCTTGGTGCTGGGGTCTTGGAATCCTCTGCCACTGAGCTGCATCTGTTTTACATGTTTATACAAGGAATGGATTAATAGCAGAAGACATATCAATGACGTGCTAAACGGTATGAGGTTTACTACTGTGAGAACTGGGATATTTGAGAAGTGTACGGTATCCGTGGAGTTCTTTTGAGTCAGGTTTCCTTCATTATCATTTGCTAACGCAATTTCCTTCGCATTCATCAGTGCAACGTGACAATACAAAAACACCAGAGATCCCAGCAATACCAGGAGAACGACACTATGAATGTGCTTCTTTAGATAAAGGAAAAAACAGTTGGAGAAATTGGCTATTTTGAGAAAATAAAACATGCAGAGGACAGTAGCAAACCAGGTGCTGAAGTGGTGGGATACAGCCCAGGAAATAATCACAGTGGTTCGTACTTGTCCACTAAATAAAGCTGGATTAAACACAGTTGAATAAAAATACATCAGCATCACCCAAAGCAATGCAATTCTGGAAACTCCCAGGGCAGTGAGAATTCCATCTCCTGGCATCAGCTTTTGTCTCTTGAGCCAGCTAATGCAGTTCACCAGTACTATGAAGGCATTGGCAAAATTTCCAAGACCAAATTCTATCATCACCAAAGTGGAAAGCATCATCAGCGTCACACTTTTCATTTCAGAAAAAAAAAAATCCCAGCCTAATATCACGGGCTGAAGATTCCTTGTGCTCTTCTTCCTACCTGCACGTGGTTTCTGGATGGGCAGGTGAGATTCTTCCCTAAATCCTGTGATCCATGTCGAGCAGGAATGTCCCCAGATGAGCTGAAGGGTGAGCTCCACACTGCTTTTGCAGAAAGCACAGTTAAGGCAAACAGCAGCTCACACAGAACCCCTATCACTACACCTTATATCTTTGCCATGGCCATGAAATGTTTCACAGTTGCAATAGCAAAGAAACCTGGATTCTCATTTGCAAGCATGTAAATGCAGGCATATTCTATTTCTTGCATTGTTTGAAGCTCATTGCCCTGTTAATTCATAGTTAGGGTTCACAAGGTTTAGGTGTCATCTCAGAAAGATGAAAAGCTAACATTCACAACATGCAGAAAACGTCTAAATTGGTACATGGGATTCAGTCATCTGGAGATGATATGCATTCCACCATTCTTTGTTTCTCCCTTTTTAAAAGTTTTTGAGCTTAGTATATTTTGAATTTACATTACAGTAAAAAGGCAAAATACTTCAATGAATAAGAAGTTTAATAAGTAAAAAGCAGAAAGACCCTAGTTTAACTTAACAAGTAAAACATAAAATGATCCAAGTTTAGTGGGAATATACATATAATGGCGAGAAACATTATTTGCATGAAAAAGTCAATTGGTTTATAATAATTTTTGAAAGAAATCATTTCAGTAAAAAAAAAGATCAACAACTATTTCCTATTTGGCTGACATTTTTGATCAGGAGACAAACCACGCTGAAATTGAGAAATGGAGAAATGAGGAACTGATTAGAAATCAAACTGAAATGGTTCTGCAGAATATACAATCAGCTGATGGGAAGAGTAGCCATTATCCTGAGGCCTAAGATATGGTACCCAAAATGAGCCTACAGCCACCACCTGCAGAAACCAGAACTTACTGATGACAACACTGTCATTGGTCATCAAATGAAATTGCCAGAAACTGCTAGAAATCCATCCTCTGGACCCTGACAAATCTACAGCTGAGGATTAGGGGAGCTGAAAACCGAGAGATGGCTTGTCAGAGGTGCTCTACTCACCAACTCTGCGAGAGGCAACTGGGAAAAGCTGCCAACAGCTGGGTGCTGCTGCTCTCAGGCACCTGGGCATCCCAGCATTGAGAAGCAGACCCTCACCTCCCAGAAGTTAAAACAATCCTCAGGTTATTGCAATTTTGAGCGTCTGATTAAAAAGTCTTCTTTTCCTTCTTTTGAGGTTCTGCCACTTTGTATTTCCCAAAACATAGCAGTGTAAACACCTATTTACATGCCATTTACGTTTCAGTTAATGTTTCAAGTGATTTACAAAAGACTTAAAATACACGAAAGCATGTGTGCAGGCTATGCACACCGCACATGGTCGACATATATTATGACTCTTTTCAGGATTAATGATCATAGCAGATTTAGAAAACTCACTCATTACATAATTGCGCTACTCCCTGATTTCCTAACATATCTTTCTTATCACAGAGGAAGAGAGACAGGGGTTTAGAGACAGAGTGAAAAGTCAGGAAGAATTCCCTTTGGCTTGTTCTACTCCTTAAGCACCCATGATGACCAGGAATAATCAGGAGCCGTGGCTCATTCAGGGTCTCCTATGTGGGAGTCAGGAATACACCTGCTTGGACCTTCATCTATGGCCTCCCATAGTCTGTATTAGCATGAAGCGAAATCTAGAGCTAAAGTGGGGAATCGAACCCAGGCATTCCAGCAAGGGGGCCAGGATGGCTAAGCTGCCAGTGAAACCTCACAGTTTCCAAGCCAATGTTCTCTTTGTTCTTGAAGTAAACATTTGTTCCAATCACCCTTGAGATTTTTTGACACAAATACATTCATATATAAATGTTCCAGCTTTGAAATGTCCAATACACTATTTAGCTAATGTTTGATTATTATTCACTTCCAAATTTGAGATTGATAGTCATTTTAACACAGCTCACAGCAATCTGTTTAGGAGTAACTTACTGTTTTTTATTTTTTATTAGGTAGTTTACATTTATTAGTAATTCTTTTCCTAAATATCTCTGAACAAAACAAATCTCCTTTAAGCAAAGCAAATACTTTAATTGGTAAAATACCTTGCCACACCTTCTCCAAGACATGTTACATATATTTTGTCACTTATTAAACAGCTTAATTAGCTATAATTTAAATAGAATAGATTGAGCAATTGGGTGTGTGAAGTTCATATGCTGAAATTTTAACAGCAGTTTTCTTTAAACTATAAAACAAGTTTATTACAATTTAAGAGTGACACAAAGTTCTACTTACATTCTCAGCATATTTAATGATTTGTTCAACATTCCTACTTCTGTTAATTTTTAGGTACCAACTGAACTGGAATTTGCCTCTGATAGTTACAGTTTTGTTACCGTAAGTATATGACATTTCATTAAACCTAGAAGGCACACCATTATTTTATGTTTTGTTTTCATTACTAATAGGTATCACTGTTTGAATAGCTCATGGAAAAGTGTTAAAAATTTAACACTTTTAAATGTTTATTATCAGTCTATATGACGCCCAGGGAAAGAACAGAAAGAAAGAACTCCCGTTTGCTGGTCTTTCTACAGAGTCTCACAACAGTCAAGCCTACCTCTGGCCAAAGTCAGAAGCTGAAGAATCAATGCAGGTCTTGCACTTGAGGGTCAAGGAACCAATAGCTTGAGTCATCACTGCTGACTCCAGTGTTCTGTATTAGCAGCAAGCATGGGGTAGAGTCGGAGCCAGCACCAAACCCAGGCACTCCAGTGGAATGTGTGGGTCTTCACTGATGTCAACATGGATTTCATTACAAAAGAGATAGAGAGAAAAGTTATTCAGGAAGGTGATACTCAAACATATCCATCTCAAAATTAATTAATAATTAAGTATTATGCTTACTTGCAAAACACTAGCAAGACATCTATTCACAAAAAAAAAGATGTCAGATGTTACCACAACTATCTCATAATTTGAATGTTTGTGGCATTTCATGCTATAGGTCAACACCAAAAAAGATTTTATTAAAAGCAAGGAATAATGTAATCAGTTTTAACTATTATTATATGCCTACTATGTGATTTTCCACCAGCAAAAGAAACAAGATTAAGCCAAAGATAAATTGGTAAGGCATCTGGCTCTAAATCAGCAAGCAAACTACCAAAAACAGTCACTCTACCTCTGTGTAAGCAGGTTAAAAATGCACCAAAATCTTATTTAAAAATTCAGAACAATGAATTATAAGCACCAAATTACACATTCTTTAATGCCATTTTCCCCCTGCAAATTCCATGGAGACAGAGGGCAGTCTTCTCCCACTATGGGTTCACCTGAGAAAGGGGGAGAGCTTGCAGCGCTGGGGATGGCACCAGCTCTGGACTTGCTTCTTCATGTACCACCAGACGACTCTCAGCTTCTCATGGAAAATGGTATTAGGTTAAATGAGCAGTAAAACTTACCTAGCATTCAGGTTGCCTGCCATGTTTGTGTGACTACATCCCTCTGACATATGCCTCTTTCTTCTTGCTGGTGCATATTCTTCCTAAAATGTCTCCAAAAGCAATACGAAAAACATTCAAAATAGATCTTGTTAAATGATGAATGACTGAATTACAGGGAAAATCATGTTCCCCACAATAAACTCTCAATTGGGAGGAATTCACTTACCAAATAGATGCTGAATAAACAAATTTTCCTCTCTAAAACTGTACACGATTGATTATGTGGACAATATAACAGCATGAAACATAAGTCCTGTGACCTCAATCCCTTCTCTTTATTCCATGTTTCAAACTTGAAGTTTCCACACATCATTAAGTTGCTCTACATGTGTGCCATAACACATGTATGTGGCACAGCTAATGTGAATTATGTTGACCATATCAAGGCTTCTAGAAATATCTGTTCCTGTCACCACATGGATACTTGTCTGACACCAACAAAATATAAGTACTCAATGGACTAAAATGAACAGCAACAACAAATCATCCTGAGTGTATCACACATAAGTAAAATCTATCGTTGACCAAATCTGTAAGTCCTCTGTATTAAAATCAGTAAATATTCTGATAATATTTGAAAACGAGAGTGAGAAATACAAAGCAAATTACATATTCCTAACAACAATAAATATATGTGAAGATTTTTCAATATGAAATTAACAACATAAATTGAATAAAATAGCTCATAATTAAGAGAATTTTCTAAGACATTTGCAAATTGGGTCTCATATATGTTTAAAATTTATGTTGTATTGCTTGTCTATTATGAACATCACACATCAGAGATTTATTTTTATATATATCATTGCTCAGTTTATTCATAGTAATTTACAGCTAACAAACACTTATACACACAATTATCTTTTATATTGCATGTTTCTTATTTTAAAAGTCCCAAGATAAATGATACTCATAAAATTCATCAAACTCCCCAACTTCACCACAAGGTTTACAGTATTAATTCCTGTTTCAGGAAAAAGAAAAAGCATCAGGTTGTAGAAATTGGCAATTTTGAGCAAAATGGACTAAGCTGAGACTTTCAGCAAGCCATATGTTAAGATGACTGATTGCTGATCAGATAGTAATAGTAGCTGCAATAATTGCATTTGAATTCCCATATACTAATATCACCCAACACACTGTAGTTCTGGACACCAACAGAACAGTGAGAATTCAAGAAGCCATGGAGATCTTCTGTCCCTTGGTCCAATGCATGCGCATGCAGCTCAATAGTGCTATGAAGACAGTGGCAAAATTTCCAAGAAGAAATTCAGCCCTTATTAAAAATGTTATCATGTCTGAAAAAATATCAAGCCTATTATCACAGGTGTGCTTCTTTATTATCTTGACCAAAAGTGTCCCCAGAGCATTCTTACAGGGTGTACTAGATGTGTAAATACAAACATACACACATAAATAAATAAATAAATAAATAAATAGTGCTCTTTTATATTTGATGAATAATACCAAGACGTGCTAATGGATGAGTTGAGGACCATGCTATGTCTGTGAATACCAGTTATTACAAAATGATTCAATAGGCCTTCTGCTTCCAATTCCATGTCCTGCCTATAGGTTGGAACCTTCCATAGCTAATGTTGGAATGAAAGATGAATCCTCATTTGTAAGCATGCAAATGCAGATACATTGTCTTTCACTAATTTGCAATATTTTGCCTTGTCAAACCTCTACATAATCTGAGCTCTTGAAGTTTAAGTTCCATCTAGGAAAATATGAAAATCTAACACAGAGAATACGTGGAAAAGATCTGAAATGGTGGATGTATCTCAGTCATCTGGATATACACTTTATGGCTCATTGTTATTGAAGATTTATTTTAACAAACACATATCCATATAGGACAGAGTAAATGAATCAACATGCAAATTTTGAAACCAAAGTATCCCAAATTCTCAAGGGACTTCAAGATTCTTTTTCCCCAAACTGGAGGCTGATAACATTTACAACGTCATTGTGAGAATGTTCATAAAGACACACGTGACCAGATCATCACCAACAATGAGGTGTTTCACTGGGCATCCCCAAAATACTGAGGTATAAATTATTATAGTGCAATTTCCCAACATAAATGAGTCTTACAGAAATCACATAGATTTGTCACTCTTTTTATACTCAGTTTTTTAATCTATTATTGGTATTTATCAAATATAATTCCCAAGCTTTGGAAATTACAAAGGTTTCTCTCTTTGTATTTAGTATTTAATCATTCAGTATTTAATTGCACTTTTAAAATGTTATAGATAAACCATTGTCTACTTAATTGGAATTATATTAGACTAAGGACTTGGACACAATAGGTACCTGAAGAATTCACTCTATTAAAAACACACAAAATAGATTTACATTTATTCAAATGGTTTTATGTTCTTCAGTATGATCAAATAAACACAATAAAATTTGTCTTAGTTATAGGCACTTTCTAGATTTAATTGCCAATAATAAAAGCTAAGTTTGTAAAATCATTAGTTATTACTGGGGAGTAGTAACATCTTAAAATATTACTTGATAATCTTGCTGTTTTTGATCATTCTATTTCTCTTTTTTAAAGATTTGTTTTTATTACAAAGCCAGATATACAGAGAGGAGGAGAGACAGAGAGGAATATCTTCCATCCAATGATTCACTCCCCAAGTGACCACAACGGCCAGTGCTGCACCGATCAGAAGCCAGGAACCAGGAACCTCTTCTGGGTCTCCCACGCGGGTGCAGGGTCCCAAAGCCTTGGGCCGTCCTCGACTGCTTTCCCAGGCCACAAGCAGGGAGCTGGATGGGAAGTGGAGCTGCCGGGATTAGAACCAGCATCCCTATGGGATCCCGGTGCATTCAAGGTGAGGACTTTAGCTGCTAGGCCACACCGCCGGGCCTGATCATTCTATTTCTTAAAAATGTCTAAAACTGAGGTCTTATCTGCATGCAGCGAGGAGCGCATTCTGCGAGGAATGACTGTAGCTATTTCCTTGTATCTTCCATGTATTTCCAGATCAGTGTTTACACTTCTCAGCATTAGATTCTCATACAGTAAATGATATCAGACATGTGTGAATATTTAAAACAAATCTAATATACTGATTGCACGCCATATTAATATTAGCACATTTGCTTTTCAGTAGGTACCTATACCACTTGCCCATTTTTTAACTTACACTGATTCTTAACAAAATGTCTCCTAAAATTATATGTTAAATAGATTTTTATAATGAATAAATAAACATGAAAATTCTCTTCCAGAGATCAAACCTGCAGTTGGAAGGTATTTTGTTATGAAATTAAGCCTTGAGTAAACTCAATGTCTAGAGCTCATAAAAGATTTGAGAAATAGAACATAGGACACACACCTATAATCCCTCTTATTGCCATATTCTGAGTTGAACCTAGTTGACATTTTAATTTTATTGTTAAATTAGATTTTATGTTTGCCATGCCATCATCATGCACACCAGCCACATGGGGCAAAGTGCCTGTGAATTTGGCATTAATTAATCATTGGTTGTGTTCATTTCTTTTTCTATGTGTTCAAATCACTAATAAAAGGTGATATTTGAGAGGCCAGTGTTGCAGCAGAGTGGACTAGCCTGTTGCTGATGATGCTGGCATTCTGGAAGGAAGCGCCAATTTGGATTCCGAAAGCTATGCTTCCAATTTAGTTGCTACTAGTGCACCCAAGATGGCAGCAGTTGGTGACCCAAGTACCTGGGTTCCTGCCACCCACATAGGAGACGTAGATGGAGTAGTACCGGCTCTTGGTTTCAACATGGCCTACACCTGGCTATTGTAATCACTGAGGAATGAACCAAAGGAAAGACGGCTTCTGTGTGTGTGCACATGCACTTCTCTGTGTGTCTCTTTAAAAAGAAAGGTTATATTTAGAAAGGTTATATTTGATTACATCCAATATGCCAGTCCATATATTTGATCCAATATGCCAGTCATATCCACTTTAAAACTGATCACAAACCATGGTTTATTAACCTTGTCTGTTGCAATCAAATTTTATTATAGAACATATTTGAAGGTAACACTGGGAAACAGAATGCATTTCCAAAACACTTACATATTTCTTTTTTAAAAAAAGATGTATTTATTTTATTGCAAAATCAGATATGCAGAGAGGAGGAGAGACAAAGAGGAAGATCTTCTATCCACTGATTCACTCCTCAAATGACCTCAATGGCCAGAGCTCAGCCAATCCAAAGCCAGGAGCCAGGAGCCTCTTTTGGGTCTCTCACACGAGTGCAGGGTCCCAAGGCTTTGGGCCACCTTCGATGGCTTTCCCAGGCCACAAGCAGGGAGCTGGGTGGGAAGTGGGGCTACTAGGATTAGAACTGGTGTGCATATGGGATCCCGGAGAGTTCAAGGCTATTGCGCTGGACCCTACTTACATATTTCTAATAATGATACGTACACACATCCCAAGATGTCTTGGGAAACAAACGGTAGAAGTAGGATAATTAGGTTGAAGCAACTTTAGGATTTCAAGAAGCTTTTCAAAGGCATTTATAAATCAAGTTGCTTATTTGATCTCCAATAAACTATAATTTATGATTCATTGTTTATGCAAAATATTATATTCACACATAATACATTAGGGACGTGTTTTAGAATCTAAAGTTACACAGTTCCATTTTCAATAATATGGATACATATACACTTAATTATTTTGTGTATTAGAGATGTTACATTTAAAAATTTCAAAAAGGTGAATGAGCCACACAAAGTTTTTATTATTGTTTGCCCAGAGTTCTTCCACTTGAGTGATCTGTATTCATGTCTTTCCAAATATTTGCTAAAGCTGTAAAATGTTTGGATGGATAATCCATATTCCATTCTATATATTTATATTTTTAATAATAAAAAATAGCAGACTTATTACAAGATTTTCTGTACTTTTTTCTGAACAAGAAAAAAGATTTTGCTCTATGGCACGGAGGATTCAGCCTCTGCTTTGTGCCTGCACCTTAAGCCAACTGAGCACCAAGAGTGAGACCCGTCTCAGCTTAGTGTTTCCCAGGATGAGCAGGTGCGAGTGGCCTGAAGGATAAGCCATTGAGAAAACCTGGCAAATCATGTTGCCTAGGACATTCTCCAGCAGGTTATGGCTCCAAACTTGCAAGAGAAGAGTCAGGGAAAAAATGGTATAGAGCACAAGGAACGCGATCACGGTCTGCAAGCCTTGTAAATGGGCTTTGGTACTGGCGTCTCTTAACCCTGTGGCCTTGAGCTGCATCTTCCTGAGATGTCTCCACAGGGAGAAGATGAGCAGGAAGAAGGTTGTCAGAGATACCATGAAAGGAAAGATCGTGAACATCATGTTGCTGAATACAATAATACCTGGAAGGTGTACAGACTTCCTGGAACTAGAACTGTAAGTCAGGTTTCTTTTACTGACATCATTAAATGTGCTGATCACTGCAATATTCAGAAACAAGAGGACCAAAGATAGCAGCAACGTCACTACGACCAGCTTTTCAACTCTCCGCTTTAAGTAGAGGAAAACAGAGCTAGTAAAAATGGCTATCTTGAAAAGATAAAAGATGCAGAGGCTGGTGGTCAGCCACACACTAAAATGATTGATTATGATCCAGATACCAATGATTATTTTGGACATGTTGTTGGTGACAAGTAAAGCTCGGGAAAGCACAGAAACAAACGTAATAAAGAATACGAACCACAGCTGTCCAATTCTGGAGATGGCCAAAGCTGTGAGTATCTGATCCATGAAAGAGAGCTTTCTTCTCCTGATCCAGTCGATGCAGTTTACCAACGCTATGAATCCATTGACCAGATTTCCAAGTACAAACTCCACACTTAGGATCATGGCAAATATGACCAGTAAAACAACAGCCATTGTTTATAAAATAATGTCCCAAAGTCGGATTTCACCACAAAGATTTCTTGCTGTTCTCGTCTAGAAAATTTGTTTTATGTAAAAATCATTTATATGCACATGTTATATTCAATGAGGGATTATCACACTTGAGATACATATATGTATGTATCTTATAAATATACATAATTCTTAAAATGTCACATTCCCCCACTGAAAACTTGCATATATGTTGCCAAACTAGAAACCTATGTTTGCTAAGTCTAATGAGATATAGTTTTATTAGAAAACTCAACTGAACTTCACTTGGCTCCAGTGAGTCTCACAAGCACCTAGAGGAGAAAGTCTTTTGTAGTCCACGATGGAGGAAATGCTAAACACTGATTTTCTAACATGCAAATAACGATGTATTCATTGCATTGTTTTATATTTTGCTGTATCAATATATTTATTTTGTATTCTGGGATAGGAATATTATAAAATTAAAACACACGTGGAACAAAGCAAAAAGTTGTATATTGGACTGCCTCGATGCTGTTTTTTTTTAAACACTGAAGTTTAGCTTACGTGAGTATTTTTCTTACATGCTCCAAAGTTCTCCCTACAAATGAACAAAATTGGTTAACAACTTCACAAAGGCCACGGTACCTAAAATGTTTGGTGCCAAGAATACTATATAAATATATCACTTGTATTTTTCCAAGGACATGTGCATACACATACGCACACACACATACAAACTCCCTTTCATTTTTATGCCCAAGAATACAGATTTTCCATTTTTTCAATGTTTATTTTATATTTAGGACATATTAACCACACATATTTAGTAAAAGCATTTATGTTTATATTATACAAATATGTAAATATACAGCAAAAATGGGGAATTCTTTTGGTACCTGTAAAGAGATGAAAAAACAATTGGATAGAATATGTTGCTACTATATCTGTCACTGAGTTCGAATGAGTTCAACCACAATTCAAAAATCCTCTGTATTCTGTGCCCAACACAATTTAGTTAAAGATGATCTACTGCCTTTCAACATGAAGGAATAAACATCATGACACAATCATTCTTTCATTGCCAAAACGGGAAAGTAGAGGCCAACTAAATAAATTCAGCACATGGAAAACAGTAGGATAAGGAACCTCATATCAGAGAGCCAAACTATCCTGGAGACGTTTGCCAGGTCTCTCCAGCAGATATGGAAAATCACATTATTTTACATCCATCAGTCTAGGCATCAATTTACCAGCACATTGCTGTAATATTTTTTAAAGAGGATCAAACACACGAGATGTGTCACTGAGACCAATTCCTGTGTGTGAAACAAGGCAGCATTAGAAAAACCAGGTATCTTGTGAAAATAAAAGATACTGTGGCTATAGCAGGTCACAATCTGAAGTCACTGGTTTTCACAGTAATCTTGAAAAAAATCTTTAAATATTGAATACTAAGAATAATACATATCATTTTACTTTTTACAAGCACAAGCATATACACACATATGCTAATAGTGTTTACATTCAATTCCCCTTACTTTTTCACCCAATAATTTAGATCTTTTAATCTTTTTAACTTTTGTGGAGCATCTAGCACATGCTAGTACTATAACTATTGATGAGCATCAATTATGCAATGCTTCCACCTTTAAGTTATACAATACACAGCAAACTTGGAGTTACTAACATTATTCATGTAATTTCATGCACTCATGTGCTTAGACATCCACCATTTTCAACTACAATGTTGGAGGCTGCTGCTCTTTCAACCAGCACTTCAACCGCCACACCATCAACAAAAAGGCCTGCTTCAGCTTCCTGTTGCCCCAAATCAGGACAAATGAATGGTTTGAAGGATAGATGAATCCGACGGCCCAACAAAGTGAGAGGAACAATTTACTGCATAACCTATTAGGCACCCAAAGTGACACGATCACAGACAGAAAGTAAACGGCAAACAGCAAGACGAAGGAGAAGACAATTTTCACGGCATTTACATGCATCTTGCTGTTAACATCTTGGGATCCTTGGCTATAGAGCTGCATCTTCCTGCGATGCTTACACAGAGAATAGATTAACAACAGAGAACATGTCAGTGACATGGCAAAGGGTATGAGGTTCACTCCAGTGATCACAGTCACATATGAAAGGCTTGAAGTGCAGGTCAAATTGGCCTTCCAAGTCATATTTCTTCTATGTTCATTCATGTCCTTCATCCACTTCATACTTTCCACTGTAAGATTACAGAACAAAACCACCAAACTTGCCAGCAGTACCACTAGAATGAATCTGCCTGTATTCCTCTTTAGGAGAATATAAATAGAATTTGAGAAATTGGCTATTTTGAACAAGTAAAAAATGCTGAGGGTAGTAGCAAGCCAGATACTAATATGGTTGATCACTGCCAAGGCTATAACAATAGTAATTCTTACCTTTTCAGTATATAAGGCTGAATGAACCACGTAAGAATCCCAATATATAAAGATGATCCAAAGCAAAGCAATCCTTGTTACTGCCACAAACAGGATAATTCGATCAGCTGGGGTTATCCTGTGTCTCCTGACCCAGTCAATACTGTTCACAAACGCTATGAAGACATTGGCGAAATTTCCCAAAATGAACTCTGCCAGTAATACAATGGAAATGATGCTGACTAGTAAATTTACCATATCTGGAAGAGAAGAAACACCAAGTTAGTACCACTGCCTGAGATTTCTTAATGTCCAGAGCTAAAGTTCTGCCAACACATGGTTTCTGGCTCTGCAGTAAAGGTCTTGTTTACATTTCAAATTTGTGTGGCCCAGAAGAGGCTGAAAGCACCAAGGCATGCTAGTGGATGAGTTCAACACTGAGTTTCCAGAATTGAATTTCTACTATTCTGAAAACACCTCAAAGGTGTGCACTTTATATCCTTATTGTAGGCTGGATTTTTGCAAGCTTGTAAATTAAGACATATTCTCTATCATTATTTGCTGGGTTTTTATTTTCATAGCCTCATCTAACCTCCACATAATTTGTGCTCGTGAGGTTTAGGTATCACCTAGGAAAATGTGAAAACTTAGCATAGAGATAGATACAAGACATCTACACATCTGAAGATGTCCTATTATAGTGGCTCACTATCACTGAGGATTTATTTTAATAAGAAGATTAGATATTGAAAAACATTTGAAGAATGTCATACACAGTTCTTCTAAGCTTTCCAATCACAGGTCTCCAAGTTTCGAAAGAAAACAACAGGAAGGCTAGCACTTTGTAGAATTTGGTGACAACAACTACAGTGTGTATGTGTGCCTTCATTCTTAATCTCAAACACACACGTGACCATGACCACCATCAGGACAGTCACTATGTTAGCTACCTGCAGCCACATGCATATGCTTCAGACCATCCGAAAAACAACTAAGTTCAGCAAAATCATGCTTCAACACTATAAACAGCTAATTACTAAAATGAAAACAGACATAAGACAGCTGAATAGTAATCTACAGCCATTTTGAGGTATACAGAACCCGGTTGAATATAAACCAAAATTGAAATGTCTATGAAGAAGTCACAGGATGTAGTTAAGAACCTGCATTTTCCTATTAACATATTGGTTAATCAATACCATGTCAATTAATGCCATAATGTTGTAAATTGTTGTTGATGTTATGTTGGGGCTTTTAATTGATTGAGATGATACTTTGCCAGCTTTACCTTCAGACCAGAGATGATCTCACCAAGAAATCGTTGAACTCACTAGGATAATAAGATGCTGGACTTCATGCTTGGTAAATACTTCTAATGAAAGAACCTCAACTGAATTTGAACTGTGGTAATGCAACAAGGTGGAGAAATCCACCATGGAGAGAGGGTTCAGGAGGGGTGGGGGGAATCCCAGTGCCTATAACACTGTGTCACATAATGCAATACAATTAATAAAAGGGGGGGGGGCAAAAGAGGAAAAAAAAGGAACTCTAATAATAGAAACTCTAACCTTCTAAGAAACTCTAGTGTTTCAAGGAAAAAAAGTCTCAGAAAACTTATGTAGATTTAAATCCCCTTCTTCCATACTGAATGTTTTTAATATTTTATTAATATTTCTCAAATAAATAAATCTCTTAAACTATGTCTTTCTGAAACAGATTATAATTGAATGGAACTGCACTGGACACAAAGATCTAGATACAATAAATGCATCTACATCACAAAGTGGTATACTTCTACATTTTTCAAACATCTGACAAAAGCATCCAAAACGTACTAATCTGAATATCAAGATGAACTAATATCAATGGGATTCTTTCAGTGACCAAGAAGGGAAGTCTATTTAGCTAAAACCCATTTGACTATGTTGTTAGACATTAATTTAAAAATTAAATCATTTTGTATTTAATTCATTTAATTTTTCTTCTTGAATACAGAATAGGAAATAAAAGGCAAAACATAGAAGCCTACAAAACATGCAACATTTTATAATACAAGTATTACTATATAATATTACATATCCACATATAATACAGGTAAGCAAATACAGATTTGAGTGTTTCTGCCTTTTAATAAATAACTTAAATTGTGTAGTGATTATTTCGGGTAACTTTTGATTTTCTAGGATGGACTAGCTGGACATCTGTTCTCCCAGCTATAAATTTGGAATTCAATTATTATTTTTACAGTTTGTATCAAGTAACACACACTTGTCAGCACTTCATTTCTAATTATTTCTGAATAAAATCCTTGTCTCCTTCAATCAAAACAAATCCCTTGACTTGAAAATCCCTTGCTACCAAAACACTCTTTCTAATATGTTACATGGGGGCTTTTCTATTTTTAAATATAATGTAGGTACATAAAATGAACAATCACAGATATACAGTTCATAACATGATAAAATTTTAAGCAACTGCTTCTCATAAACTATAAAAATATCAGTTTGATTAAAACCCCTATGTAACAAACGTTTACTTACCTTTTCTTTTTTAAAAATATTTATTTGACATATTTGTTTCTCTGGAATGTGATCTTCACAAACATCTTCTATTTTGAGAGAAGACACACTGAGAAGACAAAATCAATCAGATGTGAAAACGCGAGGAATAGGAACATCCTCCCAGCACAGAGGCAGGGAAATCCCTGAGGCTTGGCTCCTCCAGGTAACAAAGATGAATTTAGGAAAGCAAGACATAGAAATGCGAACAGCCGTGGAGATGGGGTTGAAGGCAGGTGGATCCTTGTACTCACACTTCATAGGCTTTTAGAAAAATCACAGAACCTGTGCCCTCAGCAATGGTTACCTCATCCCTCAGCAGTTCACCTGGAGGACCACACCTGCACCCTGTCCCATCATGGGGAAAGCTGTCATTTGAGCAGCAGCTCCGAGGGAGGTGTGAGCTCTTTCAGACAAGGTGAAGCTAGCAGCAAGAGTAGTTCCTGCCCTGCACCTGCAGTCAGTGGCGTAACAAGCCAGCATGTGAAGACTAATGTACAGTTCTTTCCAGCGTAAAGGTCAAGGCTGCAGATTAGCACACGGAGAAGCCAGTGCCTTTCATTTCTACCTCAGGATATTACACGTATACCGATGGTCCCAGTTGTAAGTAATCAAGTCTTTCTCTGCCTCTCTCTTATGTGCATGTGTGTATTTCAATCTTTGTAACAATAGCCCTCTGTTTGTCAATATATCAGCACCCATATTGCTATCAAATTAGGGAAAAGATGACTATCATGTTAGTAGGGCTGAAACTGTGTGTGTGTGTGTGTGTGTGTGTGTGAGAGAGAGAGAGAGAGAGAGAGAGAGAGAGAGAGATCCTCTCATCCCAGATTTTTTAGTTTTATTTTTTTAGTTTTATTTTATTTTTTACTTTGATATTTGAATACATGACACAACATAGCTAGCTAATGTGAGATATGTGAATGTACAGGTAAATAACTGAATAGATATAAATGAGTGAATACATGTAAGTTATCAGCCTCATTCATCTCTGCTGATCACATGAGGTCATAACCAAAGTTAGCCTACGTGGTCAGAAACAGAAGAATCACACACTCTTGCTCTATGTCTTTATTTTCGGTGTTGTGCTGAAAAGAACTAGCTGACAGAGAAGTGGTACCCTTGAATGAAATAACACTCGGCAGAGGGCAGCACCCTGGGAACTAAGCTCAGGGTGTGCAGCGCCACCTGTAGGCCAGGGCTCTGTGAGGAGCAGAACCTGCTAAGTGCTGAAGAGCCACGTGACTGGCGTGTGTTTGTGCAGACTGCAGAGGCTCTCAGTGGCATCAATCCTGCAAACCCCGGAGGTCAGAGAGCTGGGAGGATGGACCCTGTATCCAGTCTTTAAAGGGGAAAGCCCAGGCCCCTCACTTGGTTCTCAGGACTGCCCCACTTGAGAGAACTACACTTCGGTGACTGAAGGGGACATATATACCTTAGAAAAAAGGACCCTGAATATTCACCCTAGTAACGTGAAGATTGAGGCATGTGCTGTTTTCACCAAGAACCAAGGCTATCTGCTACACAGCAGTGCCCAGAGGAAGTGGAGCAGGGCCTGGACCTGTACTAACACCTAGGGATTTAGAAAGACTCCATGACCCATTGGAGAACTTTTGCATTGTTGGATGCCATCTGGAGCTGTGACACACGCCTGTTCCAAAGAGGATATGTGGGGTCTGTAGGCATTTCCTCTGCCTGACATTGTAATGGCAATGGACTGCTGTGACAGCTGACAGAGTTCTCCCCTTACTTCCTGACTGTGGAATATGACTCATCGTTATGTAGAGACCAAGAGAATGCCTCATAAATCCTCATGTACACATGAGAAAACAATTAATATGTAATAATTACAACACCCAAAGAATGGAGTTGAATACCCCCCAAAATAAATGATAGCTAAAAGGAAATGTTGTCATTTCCTAACCATATTAAATCATCCCATGTGGTATTTGCCAAAACCAAACCAATATTACATGAATACTGATTATCATAAGTTGTGCTTAAAGATAAATTTTAGAAGCTGATATAGCTACTGAGCAAAAGCTAGACTCCATATGTGGCTATTAACTTTGTGAAGGTCTTTTAGTCTACACAGAACGTAAGGGGAAAATCAAAACAACTTGCTATTATTTGTTGAGAAAAATAGCATAATTTTACTGTTAGCATAATTTTACTTAGTTCAATTGGTATAGTAACATCATGCTAACTTTATATCATTACATTATTTATATCAAGATTATAAGAAAGTTGGTCTTCGTTATGTTTGTACCAATACACGCACAGACTTTATACGTGGCATTCCGATGTTTCCGGAAAGGTTCATTTTGATGACATCTTACAGTTTGTACTCTAACTTTTTTTCAAAGATTTCTCTATTTTTATTGAAAGACAGATTTACAGAGAGAAGAGGAGACAAGAAAAATTTTACAACCACTTGTTCGCCCCCCCCAAGTATCTGCAATGGCTAGAGCTGTGCCAATCCAGAGCCAGGAGCCTCTTCCAGGTATCTCAAGTGGGTGCAGGGTCCCAGGGCCTTGGGCCATCCTCAACTGCTTTCCCAGGCCACAGGCCGGGAGCTGGATGAGAAGTGGAGAAGCCAGGACAGGAACATGTAGCCATGGAATTCCAGTGCATAGAAGGCAAAGACTTTAGCCACTAGGCTACCATTCCAGGCCCTCTACTCTATTTTTAAATTAAACAATTTTTTTTTCAGTGGGAGGAACTTCCAATTTTCTTATCTAGAGTTTTAAAATGGAGACGAGAGGGCCCTAACCCTAACTCTTACCATCTAGATCATCATAGGTCTAAGCAGTGACATCTAAACACACTGCTTCTTACACATGGATAGTAGAACCTACATTGGAAAAAAATCACTGACAATTCAAAATAATATATAAATATATAAAATAATGTATTTCATTAAAACATAACCTAGAAAATGTACATAAATAGCTTGATTCTGCAACTCAGACATTCCATGACCTATTCTGTAGGATTCCATGATTTGCATGCCATGGTTGATGTTTTATTTTTATTGTCCTATACAAACACATGTATTTGAACTAACAAGCTTAGACAAAGGCTTTTGTATGTAGATCATAAGAAATTACTTAAAGACATATTATGGGGGGGACCCCAAGAAAAGTGTAAAGTGAGACTGACTATGTCAACTTGCTTTCTGCCATGAGACGCACAACATCTGTCTCATGAATCCTGCAAGTTCAGGATGTCTGCCCTCTCACCCCACACCTCATCTGCCACAGCCCTGAAAGGAAGGTCTGCTTCAGCTTCTTGCTTCCCCAAATCAGGATAAATGAGTGGTTTGCAGGATACAGGATCCCAATGGCCTGGCAAGTCATTTTGACAGTTTTACTCAATGATGTATCAAAATCCCACAATGAAATGACAAAACTAATAAAGTAAATGACAAACAACAAAAGGAAGGAGACTACAGTCTGCATGGCTTTTACATGGACCTTGGTGCTGGATGGGAGGAATCCCTGGCCATGATGCCGCACGTTCCTGAGATGTTTCCACAGGGAACAGGCTAACAGCAGAAAGCATATCAGCGATATAACAAAGGGTATGAAAGTTAGAAGCGTGTATAGACTTATATGTGAAATCTTGACAGCGTCTCTCAACTCCACCTTCCTAGTAACATTCCCTTCCAATTCTTTTTTCCAAATTCTCAGGTCTATATTTAGCACAGCAAGCTGACAAACCAAAAAGACAAAATTCACCAGCATTATCTGCACAATGACATACTTAACTCTGTTCTTCAGATGAAGAAAGACAAGGTTGGAGAAATTGGCTATCTTCAGCAAATAAAATAAACTCAGGATAGCAGTAAACCAGAGGTTAAAATGGTTGGTTACTGTCCAGGTATTACTGATTATCATTTGCACTTCAGATGTGACTAAAGCTGGGTTCAACACTGTGGAACACCAGTTTAGTAGTATCAACCAGAGCATACCAATTCTGGAGACAGCCAGAGCAGTGAGAATCCCATCCGCGGTGGAGACCTTGTGACTCTTGACCCAGTCTAGGCAGTTCCCCATAGCTATGAAGATATTGGCAGAATTCCCAAGAACAAACGATGTCATGACTACGACGGAAAGGATGCTTGATAGTAAACTTGTCATGTCTGAGAAAAAAGAAAGAAAACGTGCATGTTTAATATTTCTGGTTTTGGATTTTTCCAGTATCCTGACCTGAAATTCTCTGTTGTACCTGATTTCTGAATTTTCATTGACTTTCTCTTCTCTCTTAAATTCTTCGACTGTTTCAAGTTGGAAAGCACCACAGAGGGATAACTGAGGATATCAATGTTGTATTTATAGGTAACCAGGTCCTTCCCAAAGCAGCTCAAATATATTCCTAATTATATACAATATGTTCTAGAAGCAGGCTAGAATATCTCATAGCTGATACTGAAGTGAAAACTTAAGTCTCATTTGCTAGCATGCAAATAAAGACATATTCTCTTGCAGAGTTTTGTATTTCCTTGTTTCACATCCCCATAATTTGTGTCCAGCAAACTTAATTGTTAGTAAGGTTTAATAGCACATGTACGGAATCTACACTTATAGGAGAATGGTCATAATTAAGGCTATTACCAGCATGGGGTCGATTTGATTTGTTTTGTTCTCATGCTAAAAATAAGTAGAAAATATGTAGTCTTTGTCTAACAAAAGCATCTAAGGCTTTCCTCTGAATCCCAACACTTCCTAAAACTTGGTTACTGATAGCTTATATTTATATAAAACGTCATTGATCATAGGCTGATTAGAAGCAGATATACTTACATATAAACACACAGAGAGAATCATCTATCACTGACAACAGAAAACGTCATTCTTACAATTCCCAAAATGGAAAATAATTTTCAGAGATCATGGGTTAACTAACCATTTGTTCCCTCACAAAATTTTTATTCTTGCTATAAATATTTAATAAAATTGTCTCATGTCCAGACCTTTGAAAAGCTTACTCATGAGTTCACACTTGTGGGGTCCAGTTATCCAAGCCAATGCAGCCTAAATTGTCAAAAAACTAACTAGCTCCAGAAACTAAACCATCTTAAAGCACCTTTTCCATACAACAAGGCCAGCATCAAAAAATGCGTAATTACATAAGTATGCAGATATTTATAACTAATGGAAGTTGTCATTTTCTTTGCAGGAAAAAAAAAAAACTTGCTGAACTAGAGAATGGGCAGCAGGTCCATCATTTACCTTTTGGTGCATCAAGAAACTCACGATATAAAAGACAAACAGATGGAGTGTGTCAATTTTTCTCATACAGATTATGAATGCTAGCAGAAAACTTTTGGAAGGATGAAGACTCCAGGAAATGTCATTTCAACTCTCTACATGTTTCAGTTAAAGTAAGAAAGTTTCTACTTCAATTCTCTTAGAGTTGAGTAATGTATACAGCTGACAAATTTTACCCTGGATGTATAGTGAAGTATAATGAATAATATTTATGGAACATTTCCTTAAAATTAAATTATATTACACTGATATTGTACTCCTAGAAATGGGCCAAAACAAAATTGAGAAACACATAACTGTGCCATAAAACAAAAACTCATATAAATATCATGAAAATCAAGACATGGAATATTGCAATCAGCTCAAGTCACTTCCAAAAAATTTTCTGTATCCTTAAAGCTTTCTCCATATTTATTGAGGTAAGCATAATTCAGAATTTATAATGAACATTTCCTTAATTTCTACATATATTTTAGCAATGAGATATGCAAAAATAAACACCATATTTTAGTAACACTAAACTTTATATAACTTTATAAATCAGCTATATACGTGTGTATATATGTACATACACACAAAATAGTATGCATCTACTTGTAATAACTTCTTTTGTCAAATGTCATCTTTCTGAAATTTACTTACATTTTCTATAGTAATTTATTACATGTATTTATCCATCCACCCTACATTTATAAATATTTGAGTTGTTTATGGAAAAACACAACTATCAGCCTTGTTTCCCATTCCATTTTGTTCATTCCCTTTGGGTGTACATGTAGTATAATTGCTAGGTCACTGAATATGACATTCTGATGCTATTCATATCCATAGTAAGTTCAAAAATATTCCATGAAATTTAAACTTTCACGTTCAGATTATCTGCTATTATCTGAATACGTTTTAGTCATCATATATTTTAACCTCCACAAAAAGTTAATTTTATAAAAAAAAATTATCTATTCATTTGTCTGAAAGAGAGAAAGGGAAAGACACAGAGAGAGATCTTCCATCTGTTGGTTCACTCACTAAAAGACGACAACAACCAGGTCTGAACCAGGCTGAAGCCAGAAGCCTGTTTCACTTTCTTCCCAGGTTTATTAGCAGGAGGTCAGACTAGAAATGGAGTAACCAGGGCTTAATTGACACTATAATATGGGGTGCTGGTGTCACAAGTGGTGGCTTAAATTATGGCACCACAAAATTGACCCAAAGATGTTATTGCTTGTAAAGACAGCATTCATTGTTACCAGGCATATATTTGCAATTTGCATTCATCTTCATTCCAACTTGCATATTCAACTTTTGATCACAGAATAGAAAAAGGATATGGTCTTGTCACTCTTCCCTAAACTGCAGGAACTACAAGTAGATTCCACATCAGTTTTTGTCAGATCTGTTGCTAAATCTTTAGTGCAGGCTCTCGTTATGGGTAAATTTAAGGAGTAGAATTTGTCCAATTATGTTTGCAAATATTGTAAAAATAAATCACTAAAGGAGATGATGAAGATGATGTCTGTTCAATGAGTAAAATGTATCTGATGAATGTGACCTCAGTGGAGGCCAGAAAAATGCCAGAATTCATGATGCAAGAACACTAATGTTCATTTTTCCACATGGCCTTAACATTTTTGTATCATTCTAAACATCAAGGCTAGACCTACAGCATATCTTCCCCTAATAGTTCATCAAGACTAACTAAAAAAATTTTCTGATGTTTTGCTTGTTGCATTTACTATATTCTAAAGATGATGGGAAAATGGTCTTACAAATAAAAAGTATTTCCAGTATTGACATCTGGATTTCAATTTTTCACATTTTCATATAAACCAGTACATGTAGTTCACACAATAATAGTCTGTTTCACATTTTAATAGTATCAATAGCATGCAACATTCTCTAGATGACTTATTTACATACCTAGCTGCTTTGAATATTAAATTGGGCTATTATGACAGCATTCAAACTAGTTCCACACATATGCAAACATACACAAATATTATACTAAACATACTTTATGCTTTAGATAAATTAAATCCTACAGTTTTTTCTATGTGTGGACTCTCAAGTCCATAGAATAGAGGGAGGTGATCTCTGTGTTTAAGGTGCTTATACTCTGCCAAGAGAGATAGGTGATACGCAAGAAGATAAATTTCTGAGTATAATCTCCCTTAATATCAGATCAGGTTGTTAAAATTTCATGACTGGACTGTGAATGTTTTCATCAAGCAAAAATACTAAACTTTTGTGAAGATACATATGTAACAACTTGTGTATTACATACACACCTAAATGCACATTTAATTTACATATATACAATGTACATGCAAATTAAGATAACATAACACATAGATACATACAATCTTAATGTGTCAATAACGATTTTAATTGTCTTAAAAAATAAAAGCAAAGTGACATAGTCATGGCACCAAGAGTTAATATAGTCATTCAGAACTCAATTAAGTTTATATATTCCTTTCTTAGAATTAAAATTATAGTAGCTCAATTTCATCAAATCATTTTTTTAAGATTTATTTTATTTTTTATTGGAAAGTCAGATATACAGAGAGGAAGAGAGACAGAGCGAACATCCGTCCGTTGATTCACCCCTCAAGCAGCCACAGTGGCTGGAGCTGAGCCAATCTGAAGCCAGGAGCCTGGAGCCTCCTCCAGGTCTCCCATGTGGTTGCAGGGTCCCAAAGCTTTGGGCCATCCTTGACTGCCTTCCTAGGCTACAGCAGGGAGCTGGTTGGGAAGCAGGGCTGCTGGGATAAGAACCAGTGTCCATATGGGATCCTGGCAAAATATGCTGAGAAGAGTATCACACCACAAGCTGAAATGGTTGGCTATAGTCCAGATATTATAGACTCTAATTCTCTCATTTAATGTAGGTACAGAAGGTACATTCATAGGTAAACACAAACAAAGAAGTGTTACCCAGAGCAAAGCAGTTCTGGAGATGGTCAGAGCAGTGAGAATTCGGTCAGCTGAGGAGAGCGTTTGGGTCTTCATCCAGCCAATGCAGTTCACCAGTGCTATGAAGGCATTGGCAAAATTTCCAAGAATAAAATCCACCATTAATAGGATGAAAAGAACACCTGAGCATGACTTCTGCAACCTTCTAAAATGCCAACGTGATGTAAATAGAGGCAAAATGTTAATGGCAAACATGGGTTACAGAACACAGTTCGTCTTTTGTAATGATCTTTGTGCTGAGCGCTCAAAAGCTTTCCATGGAGCCATGACCTGAAATGTTTACACAAGGAACAGATTTAAAGCTTCTTGGTTTCAGGGACGAAGAAAAATGTGTAAAGGCAAAACCAAGTACACTTGTACAACCATTTTTGAACTTCCAGGCAGGTCACATTTCAATCATGATCATTTTTCTTGAACTCTCTTCTAGGCTTCCCACTAAAAGATGAAATACAAAAAGGCAAAACAAACTATACTGCCTGAACTACACTTTAAGCACTCTACTTCTGATGAAGAAAAATAAGTTTGAAAGGAGGATTCTCTTACACAAATAAAATATGCTGGGGCAAGTACCAGGTGCTGAAATGGTTAGTTACTATACAGACACTATAGATAATAACCCCTGCTGTTCATTAAATATTAACATTATGCAAAGTAAATTTGTTACGGCACTACCAGAGCAGCAAGAATCCAATCAACTCCAATATTCTTTTGCAGCCCAGGCAATGAAGTAGTTAACTAGCAACATGCAGATACATGTAAAATTTCCAAGAAGTAGGATGGACAGTGGCCAGTAAATTTTTTTGTCTAAACTGAAAATAGATAAGTAAATAAATAAATAAATTAGTAAAACAACTAAGTGTGATATTACTAATTATGCATCTCTCTTTAACATTCCACCACACATTCAATGTGCACTGTTCACTAATGATATATATGCAAACTATAACACACATTAACTGCCATATATTTATGCAAATATACATTAAATATAAATATATATAAATGTATATATACATATTTTATATATAAATTTATATATATATAAATTTCAAGCTGTGACCAAGTGAAGCTGGAGAGCACAAGGGTAGCTCAGTGGGTACATTCAGTACATATTGATGGGAAACCTGGTTATACCCAAGAAACATCAAATTAATTCCTCTCCATGGACAGTATGTTCTGGCCACTGGCTGAGATATTTCATAACTGATGCTGAAATGAAAGATGAATTTCCATTTGCTAGCATGCAAATAACAGCATATTCTATTTCATTTCTTTTGCAAGTTTTCCTTGAATAATCTCTGTATGATTTGTGTTCTTTTTTTTTAATTCTAGATTTAAGAGGTAAGAATCTAAACTTTTCCTAACAAAGTATTCCAAGGATGATACTCTGCCGGCTCTACCTTCAAACCAGAGAAGGTCTCCCCAACAAGCTGTTGGACTTATCTGGACAATAACATGCTGGACTCTATGCTTGGTATATGTTTGCAATGAAGGAATCTCAACTGAACTTGAACTGTGGTTACACAACAAGGTGGAGGAATCCACCATGGGGGGAGGGTTTCTGGAGGAGTGAGGGGAATCCCAGTACCTATAAAACTGTGTCACATAATGCAATGCAATTAATAAAAAGAGAAAAAAAACAAGTATCCCAAGGAAATATAGGAAGATTCCTTTAAGTCTAGTTGTTGACATGTAGTTTTTTAGGGATATCTTCATGGTCTGATACAGTCAAAGCTCACATACACATACAAAGACACACTGATGATCTGTATGTGGAAGGAACTATTGCCAGCGAGTGAGTTTTTTAAAGATGATTTGCTTAAAACATCCTTTTCCCATTCAAGTTTTTCAGATTATTACTGTTGACCAAAATTACCTCTCCTAATAGTTCTTTGAAAAACCAACCCTTTTCAGCCCATGTTAGTTATTGAAACGAAATATTCAATAATTTTGCAAATAGTTCTGGGGTAGCTTAAATGGTAGTTCTTTTCCATTTCATAGATGCCACTTCGTATGAATATTCAGGTGCATTTTTCTATATTAACTCAGTTTTCTGACTTTATTTTTGCTATTTCTTTTTTCTTTTTTTTTTGTTTGATATTTCTTTTGAAAAATTGAATTATCCATTTGAAAGTCAGTCACCAAGAAAGGGGCAGAAAACTTATTTCATTAAGGTGTGCATATCTTCATATTAATTCTAATATTTCTTAATAATGTTCAAAAGTAACACACATATGAAAATTAATAACTATGTATTCTGCATCTTCAATTCTATTTGGGTGCAAGTTTTTTTCTGACAATTCTTTCTACCTTCAAGTAAATATGTAATAAATATTTACAACAGAATAAAACATGCCTCAAAGATACATCTTACTGATTTAGAATTAAGCATGCAATTGGAGATTAAACTTGGAGCGTAAAATATAATGAATCTGAACACAGTTTAGTACACACATGCAACAGAAATTCAACAGAAAACAGCAGTGATTTCTTGAAATATGCTTATAATTCAAAATAGTATGTAAATATTCATAACACATTCCTTAACTGGAACATAACTTAGCTCATATTTGTGAAAACACATGTGTTTAGAAGTTTGAAGGACTTTATGCTATAATGTGTAAAAATAACTGGTTTACATTAACAGAAAATGATTAAACTGGGTTAATGTTTCTTGTGTTTTTGTGTACATACACATGCAAATGTTTTTAGTCACAGGAGTATGTGAAACATATTTTAGAAATTTCTCACACACATACACCACGGAAAGCCCAGTAGGAAGTACATCAATGTAGTAACTTTCTGCTAAGCAGCACTTAAGGTCTCTCTTGCGAAAAACCCAGGGATTTCGACATTTTTGTTCTCTTCCTCCAGCATGTCACTTGCCACAAGACCAAAAGAAAGGTGCGTTTTAGCTTTTTGTTTCCCCAAATGAGGACAAATGAATGTGTTGAAGGATAGATGATAGCAATAGCGCGGCAAAATAGGATAACAGATTTGCTCATCATTTGATAACTCCAAAATGATAGAACCACACAAAGAAAATACAGAGCAAATAAGAACAGGAAGGAAACCACATTTTGTATTGCTCTTATGTGGACCCTGGTGCTGGAATCTTGGAAATGTCTAGCATTGAGCTTCATCTTTCTGAGATGCTTACACAGAGAATAAGTCAACAGCAGGAAGCAGAGCAGAGACATCGCAAAGGGTATGCAGCTTGATAGGGTGCGGACGATTGAATTTGAAACAATTAAAATCTCCCAAGTCTCATTTGTGTCATACAGTTTTGCCTGCACATGCTGAGTGATGTTTACCATTACCAGATTGCAAACCAAAAACACACAGCTCCCCAGTATTACCTCCACCATTATACTTTCAACTCTCTTCTTGACATGAAGAAAAAGGAGACTGGAGAAATTGGCTATTCTGAGCAAGTAAAATATGCTGAGAAGAGTATCACTCCACATGCTGAAATGGTTAGCCACCGTCCAGGTGTTATGGATAAATTTCTCAGTTAATGTAAACACAGCTGGATTATCAATAGGTGAGAAACTACTTCTTAATATTACCCAGAGCAAAGCTATTCTGGAGATGGCCAGAGCAATGAAAATTCGGTCAACTGAAGAAAGTTTTTCTCTCTTCATCCAGCCAATGCAGTTCACCAGTGCTATGAAGGCATTGGCAAAATTTCCAAGAATAAATTCCACCATTAACAGGATGAAAAGGACACCTGACAGTGTAGTAAACATGTCTGTAAGAAATGGAAAAGGAAAGGAAAATCATAAGGATGCTGGTTCTATTTGTTTACTCTCCTGATCCTAATTTCTTTATCCCTTTGATTTGTAAACCTGCAGTTATTTTTTTGTTTCTTTAAACCTGTGAATAGTGCTAAGCTGGGAAGTACAACGTATACTAAAGCATGAAGCCAATGCTCACTTTTTGAAAACTATTTTTTGTTGCCAAAATGACCCCAATTAAATTTTACTCGCACAGAAATCTCTCCTATTCAGATATTGTAATACATCACAGCTGATGTGGAAATGAGAGTGATCAAGCTGCACACCCATTATTGTAAGGAAATTCAAACCACAGAGCCAACCTTAAAATGCCAACCCAATGAGCAAAATGTTGTTCCTTGACCCAGCTGTGATCATTTTTTTCCATGAATTAATTTTCACTCTCCTTACATTGTCAGAGAGAGGCCTGAAATATTGCCTGAAAACCTCATCCTTCCCCAAATGTTATTGAGAAGACATAATGGCTTACTTCTTCGTGGTCCCGTGACTCCTAAATCACACTAGTTAGCAAGAAGAAATTCCTCAAGGCATCCGTTAGCACTTCATTATCGTATCGCAAAAGGGAGAGGCTTATTGCGGCTCACAGTTCCGGAACATCACAGTTCAACATCAAACACTACAAATGGTTTAGGTTCTGGACATGTCCTTGCTGTCAGAATTCGCCGGTGACACAGAGCCCCACGCAGCTGCAGACAGCAAGAGCGCATGCCTGTGGCTCTGTCTCCACCCGACACACCCACGTGAGCTCCACATCAAGGTTTCAAACCCACCTGACTATTTCCCAGTTGTTCCTGCAAACACAGGTGTAGTTAAGCTTTCACTCTCTTGATATCATTAACATAAAACCTTGGTGACCAAATTACAGGAGTACAGGAACCAAATCATATTCAAATCACAACACTCACAGAATGGTTCATCTATTTTGCCTCTCTTTTTAAAAGAAGCTTTTTCCACTAAAGACTAATTTTAAATGTATTTTTCCTATTGTCCATTTAAGTTCTTCCATAAATAAAAGGCTCAACAAGGTAGTTCAAGTTGCATTGTACTCATTTTCTGAATATAAATGTATTAAACCTGACTTCAACTAAACTATTTATTAATGTAACCCATATGATAATATCCGTTATGTAAATTATGTGTATAGACATGAAAAATAAATCGGATAATGAAACAGATACAGATGCTTCTACTGCGTGTGATTAAAATGTTGGTGACAATGATGCATGTTAACTGAGAGAAGCTTGCCTGTGGCTTCAGTCCAGAGTTTACCCCTCTTCCCGTGGGCTTCGCATTGTTTCTTAGGTGATCTTAAGCTACACGGTGAGGCATCTGCATTATAAAAACATCTTTCAGGTGATTTGCTTGCTAGTTTTATTCTTTACCACACTCTAAAACTTAGGACAAAACTGACCTACAAATAACACTGATATTCGCATTTGGAGAGGCTTTTTAAATATTTTCATATAAATATGCACCCATTTTCTATGCAATATTATAATACATGATTATTAGTTTATATTTTGGTAGCACCCCTAAGCAATAAAAATGGTTCCACTGAGCAATGGAGTAATTTATATTTTAAATGAATCACTTTAAAGCTGTCTTATAAGAGTAGTCAAAGCAGCCTTACACATAGGTAAACACATCTAAACATGTTAATAAGTGTCTTAACAAATTTATATTTCTGTGACTATGCTTTTTTTTGCTCTGAAACAAAACCAAAAATATTTTTAAAGAAACAAAAAAGTCTACATAAGCACATATGTATGCCCATGAACAGCAGTGTTATCTTTGGGATGAAGGAAGTTATTTTACCAAGGGATATTTGGGAGTTTTCCATGCCATAATTCACTGGAAATTAATCAAATTCTTCTGCTTTAAAATGTGCAACTTATATATTTTCGTAGGAAATAAAAAATATATTGCTTAGCTGCATATAAATGCTTTTGGTGTTGTGAATAAGATTAACATAAGCAATATGAATTTGCTTTTCATATTTACTTTTTAAATTAAAATGTAATTTCATTTTTACTTCCTTAATATTATATTATTCTTTATTTGACAAAAATCTAATTATAAATCTATTTATGAAAATGCTACTCCAGCTCATTTCCACTCAGCAATTTCTTTTATTTGTTGACATTTTTGTCTGTAGTCACCATGTAGAGAAGATACCGATGCAAATACTTTACAATAAAAGATATCTCCAAACCAATATAAATTGATTTTTTTCTTCATCAGTACTTACTGATATTTATTACTGTTCATACCGTTCTTTCATATTGTTATTTGGGGATATCAGGCTATATAATGTTAGTTCACTAATTGGTGGCTTCCATATTTGGCAGATTGGAACAAGGTGATTTATAAGAAATGAATGTCATCTTTTTGGGGAATAAGCATGGAAATATGTACATAATTAATTTTATTATTCAGACATCAGTCACATTACTGATATCATTTGTGAAATTTGGGACTCTCCCTACATTATTTGCCCAGAATATTCAGTTTAAGTCTCAGAAATTAAAGACTATTTGTTACATGTCAATGGAAGTAGCAAATAAATTATAAAACAAACAAAAAAAACCCTCCTACTTTTGAAAGCATAATATATAGGATAAAATGTTTATACAAATTTAAAAAGTAAATCTGAGCTATGATTCTTACATAAATTTAAGTCTGAGCTATCAGTTCTCTTTTTCTACCTGTTTGTAAATTCCAAGGAACTGTAATTTCAGTAATAGTAATTGCCCCATTACACCTCAGTTCCTTCTGCACAATGATGTTCGTATCTTTGGATGTCTTACTTACCAATGCTGATCTATGTCCTATTATATCATATATTCATTTCTCATTACTGATTGTAGCACTTGAGGTGTTCCTTTAATTTTGTATATATTGTCACTGAACTACTATTATAGTAGGGTTTTATAGAGTAAGTGACATACGTTTTTATAGCTTTATTTAAATTTTATTCAAAATCTAAGAGCAGCTCTGCACACTAACATGGATTGGCTCAACTCTGCATTGAGATCACTTGGGGAGTGAATCATTGGATGGAAGATCTTCCTCTCTGTCTCTGCTCCTCTCTGCATATCTGACTTTCCAATAAAAATAAATAAATCTTTTTTAAAAAAAAAACAAAGAAAGAAACTAAATAGAAATAAAAATTGAGATGTTTAAGGAGTCTCTACCTTCCAGCCTTCAGCTTAAGACTCCCTGGTACAGGTACTTGGAAAAGACCTTCTAGAAGACCAAGCCACTGTTTGGCTACCACATCTTAGAAGATTTAATGGGAGGACACTGAGTTCATTCTTTTCTGAATGTGTAATGCACACAAAACCATGACACATAATAGTTGTCTCAATGTGATCATAAAATACATTTAACATACCGGGAGATTATTTCTTACTTAACATGGGAGTTCCAGAAGGTTATGAGGATTTGTTTGCAAACTGAAAATGTGTAACAAAGGGTGGACATGGGGTGGTTAGAGAAGCCAATTGAACTAGACAGGGGTCATTAGTTTCAGGCACATCGAACTGAACTGCATTCCAGGAAACTGCATGATAAGTACTGGAGTACTTATCATTTTAGAAACCTAAGTTGATAGATTTACCCAGCCTCCCTTGGAAGCATGAAAGCCACTGAGGTGGGGCAGTCTGGTTAGGGAGAGCTGCAGCCTCTGGACATTTTCACTCTAACAGGATTCTAGCATCTTACTAGGAAGAGTGTAAGGGGCAGGAGAATCAAATGGTGCAAGAGAGAAAGCAGCAATTTCTAACTATCCTGTTTATTGTTTTTTCCAGTTATTTACTCAAACACTAGTTAAGGTGCTGCTGAGAAGGCATTTTCTAGGTACGACTAATAACCGAACCAGTCATTTTTAGCTCATTAGAAGTGAAATAATCAGATATCCTAACACATTTCAAAGCTTTAATAGAACTAGGTAGGCTCTGGGGGTAGGAGATTTACACAGAAACGTTTATAATTCTTGAGTTAATATTATCTATTTTCCTCTTCTATTTTATTTTTAATTTTATAATACAATTATATAGGCTCTGGGATTTCCCTTAACCCCCCTCTTAAATCTCTCCCCTAAACTGATTTCCCCATGTTATTACAATATTATAATCCTTCAGAAGCAGTCATAAGTCCACCATTCTGCTATTTCTTGTGTATCCTGACAGTGCAGATACAGACAACGGCAGACAGTCCAGCTTCCTCTTGTCAAGATATATCCAACTGTTTCATTGGGAGTCCATCATTGATTTGGAAGTGGTGATGCATAGCGCATTTTATCTTCACATCTGAATCTGATAGTCTATATCACAGAATTAGTATACATTCGCTTAAACTGAAAACCATAAATCAAAATCAACAACAGAAATAAAGTTTAAAAATTTACAACACCACGGATTTAAATAACATGCTACTGAATAACCAATGTGACATTGAAGAAATGAAAAAGAAAACAAAAAAAAATCTTCCTGGAGAAAATGTGAGCTCTGATAAGGACTTCTGTGTGCTAACCCTAACTTCCGCAGGATGTCCTAATCACCAGTGTCAACTGCCATAAGAGCACACAAGGTTTTAGTCTACCCTTGTAGGATCTAACTTGTGGTTGTGGGATTCCAATCTGTAGATGACCACTCCTTCCTAATTTCCTTCCTGTTAAAACTGGGCCTGAAGATGCATCACTCTTTCAGAGGCTTCCTAAGCACACTGCCTCCCAACTCCATCCAACCACTCACAAGTGATTAAAGATATTCTTTGTGATGGATCCCATTGGCTCTCCATCACTGCTCAACATTGACAAAAATACACATTTTGTAATCCAAGTTCTGATGTGTTATTGAATATTGACTGCATAAGAATTACCCTCAAAACTCGGCTGCTTAAACATAAAATAATTATTGATTCCCAATTCGTTGCATTAGGAATCTGTGAGTGCTCAGATGCTCAGTCCTCCAGCTGCTCTTCTGTTACAAGGCTTCATCAGGGCAAGCTGGGCCTGCAGCTATCTCAAGGCACAAATGAAGGATGATCCAATTCGGAGCTCATGCAATCCACTGTTAGCAACCACCACCCTTTTCGTGGGCTTTGGTTCAGAGAAGCCATGTCTTGCCACAGAGTCGTCATGACAATTCACAATGGGGCATTCATTTCATTCAGAGCAAGGACAGAGTAGGCAAGACAATGCCCTGTGTCCACTTGTTAGAGCTGACATAATGAAGTACACAGATCACATGCACAAACAATTGGAATTGATTCCTTTAAGCTCTGGAAGCTAAGAATCCAAGATCAAAGTGTCTAATGGCTTACTTTTTTCTGAGGCCTTTGTCCTTGGCTTGCAGGTGGTTGACTTCTTAGTGCGTCTTCACTTGGTCAGTCCCCAGTCTGTGTTGTTTGTATCCTAAAGCATCTTCTAAGAACATCCAGCAGATGGACTGGGGATACCTTAATTGATGTATTTTATCAAAATTATCTTTTTAAAGGCATCATCTAATACAGTCCTGTTCTTAGGTACTATATTTTGGGGACCCAATGCATAAATCGAAGAGTGGACACTATTGAGTCCTTTACAATTACTCAGTACATGTATAACTTATGTGCAATTCATTCACATTTCCTTTGTTCTCTTCATT